CAGGGTATATCCACTAGTTGCAGTAGTATAGATTTAGATCTTTAGCAAGATTCTGTCTATAAGGTGTAAGCAAATAAAGGAGCTGAACTCAACTGGACTGTTTCACCAATGTTCTTGGGCTGGGCCTGACAACATGAAATGCAAAAATATATGAAAATTTATGGCGGGGCTCAGGGAAAAAAGTCTAATTATTTAGAACAAGTCACAAGGAAAAGACACTCCTGTTGCACTTAATATAGGCACAGGGTAATTTATGTGTTACATGCAGGTGTGTGTATGGCAAAAAAGGCAATGATTCCCTTCCTTTGAGCTTGACTCCTAGTGACCACAAGGACATATCCATACAGTAATTTTCTTAGTAATAACATAGAGGTGGTTTAATGTTGTCTTCTTATAGGACTATTATTATTATTTCCCAATTTAGTCTACAGTTGGAAATTTCCTGGTGGTCTCCTACCGAATACAAGCTAGGTCTGATCCTGCTTAGTTTGGGGGACTAGCCAAGGATATGTAGGTGCTGTCAGCTATTGTAGACCTGCATATGAAAAGTTTAAGTGATAGGTAGAATCATTAACAAAATCCCAGGGTGGACCCTGAAAGCTTTACTTACAATACACAGAGCCCTTTCAAAAATTGCTACCCAATGGTAATTTTTAATATGACCAAACAGGAAGATTATGATATAAATAGGTAATTGTCACGTTAGCTGCATTTAACAATTAATGTAATTTAATTCAATTTAATCAATTACACATCCTGATACCACTCTTTTCTAGCACTGCCCACTTTGTGGCACAGCCTTTAACGTGCCAGCCAATATGGCCTCCACTATAAAAAAAAAAAAAGTATCTGTTCAGGGAGGGCATTCTCAATGGCTTACAACTTGGTAAGAGGCTTGCCTGTGGACTGCAAGAAAATCAGTGAAATTTTTTATGTAGGACATCACAATACTAGCAGAGCAAGAACAGTTTTATAATAGATTGATGTGCATGGAAGAGATGATGAAATGTATGAGCAGGAGAGAAAGTATTGTAGTCAGACTTGGGGAAGGGGACAGAGAGTGAAAGTGGTCTGGTCAGCAAGAGTTTTAACCAACCAGAATTTTGATTAAGCCTAATTTTGATATAGGGTAGCATAGGTAGAAATGGGTTCCATGTAAAAAGCATGCCAACTGGGAATGTTTTGCTATCCATAGAAGGGGGTTCCAAAAAGATCATCACACAGCTAAAACAACTTCTTTAGGATTCAATTTTAAGACTGTGAAGTCTCCTTATCTTGCCAATTTATGTATGCGTGTTCTATCCATCACATAATAATACCTTACTGTTAGTATGTCATAAAATACATAACAGATGGATTAAAAAAAAGTAACAAATCTCACTTTAATCTGTATTGAAGATTAGATTAGTCTTGGTTACCTCTTTTCTCTTAAAGGTGTTCATCTGTATTATGTTGGGGGAGAGGTATATGCAGAGTGTGTCAGCGACAGCAGCATTTTTGTACAGAGCCGCAACTGTAACTATCAGCATGGTTTCCACCCAGCCACTGTCTGCAAAATCCCCAGTGGATGCAGCCTGAAGATTTTCAACAACCAACTCTTTGCTCAATTGCTTGCCCAGTCGGTTAACCATGGCTTCGAGGTGGTGTATGAGCTAACCAAGATGTGCACCATCCGGATGAGCTTTGTTAAAGTAAGAACTTTCTTTAGTTTTGATTATGAAATTGCAAAGGTCTAATTAGCCTCTTTGTTTCAAGAACATTTTAAAAGTCACAAAGCCTGGAATGGATGAATGGATGGGATGTGCTAAATTTCGTATTTTCATGATACTTCACCATACACAAGTAAGCAGTGAAAAATTATCACTTTTTGTAATCTGTGACACTGTTTTGCCACTAGGAGTAGTCTCTTCGATTACAAATCACCTCTCCAAGAGGGAATAAAAAGAGATGACTTTAATTTACTCGTGTAAAAGGTTATTGCAAATGTAGCCATACTTGCACTAGAGGCTTCTGGACAGCATGTGGGTTCCATTAACAGCAATTATCACCTGGTCCTTCAGTTCATTTATCTTGGTGGCCACAGTATATGAATCAGGCAAACCTGATTTTTACCTTTCCCAGGCCTTGTTCAAAAGATTTCCTCTAGCACCCTCATCTATGATTATGCTGCTTTGATGACATACCCAAGGTTTGAGTATATAGGGTCTCCTCACAGACCCAATGAAATATTGCAAAAGTTATTGGGGTATTTCACTAAACTAGGATCTCTTGATACAGTGGTAAGGGCAACTTTCTTTCCGGCTTGCATGGATGGTCCACTATTCATCAGGATTGTGTGCAAGATTAGAATGGCCCCTAAGACCAAAATCCATATATGTGATCCTCAGAATCTTTGGGACATGAGAACATCAGAACTAGAGCTGAGCTAAAATAATTTATAAAAGCTGCTTTGCTATACATACTTTCTTGTGAGTGAGGCCTGCTAGCTCACATAATTTTTTCCAAATAATCAAGGTTAGGAATACTGCTGATGGTTTCATTGCTGTTATAAATGAAAAGTAACTGCATCCATTGGTGGTCTTTCAGCTGGTAGTATTTTTTGTGTATTTATCCAGTTTCAGCAATTAATTCAGAAAGAGCTGTGCTTCGCTCTTTCAAAAATGTAAATCATTTTTTTAAAAAGTCAAAACAACTCTGTATCCCCTCATCCCTTCTGTATCCCCCCCCCTCAAATGCTAATCACACATATTTTACATTTTCTTACTATCTACTCTGGCCCTTGCACCCACCAAAAATGTTACGTGTATCACCCTGCCACCCAAAGTTGTGCATTTCTGATATAAGTGAATATGGCGGTATCTGAAGCAGTTTTTTGGATTGGCCTACACAATACAATTAGGTTATCCTTTGGCAGAAGTGAATTGATTCTGCCTACTTACTCTGAATCCTGCAAATCCTGGAAACACCATATGTTTGCATCTTATGAATAAAACATATCATGGTTTGCAAACTGAAGCTGCTTTTTTGTTTGTAAACAGAAAGGGAAGGCAAGAGACTTCCCTAAGAATGTATGCAATTAAACTTTGAATGCATTTCTTCCAAAAGCTGAATTTGCATGAAGACACATAATGGGTATGTTAATGCTGGTTTCTTTGCATTTGCCTTCTTGGTTTCAGCAGCATACTCTCTGATAGAGAAAGAGCTCTATAGTTCTTCTTCTAAATAACTATATCTTCTGTCTGGCCCTGGAGGAGACAGGGTGAATGCTAAATTCTTTCCTTTGAATGGAGTAAGTACAGGCCACAATTTCAGCCTCTTGCGATAGCAGTGTCTATAAGAAAGGGTTCAAAATCAGCAAGATGGCAGATGAAGCATTGCTATGGAAGCCCAATCCCCTTTTGAACAAGCATGCAGTGTTGACAGAGTGCTTGAACAAGAGTGCTCCATCTGCCATCTTGCTGATTTTGATACAATGCTGATCTGAGAGATCTACAATTCTGAGTCCAGAATTTTGCAAGGGAAAAATTGAGTTAAATCCACTCACTCAAATTCAACTCTCAGAACTAGTCCTGCCAAATATTGCTTCTGCATTTTTAATTCTACCTTTTTCATTCCATTTGATGGGAAGGGAGGCTGAGAAAGAATGTTTTCAAAACTTTCTTTGAAGGAGAAGCAACATTGAGTGAAATTTTCATAGGTAGGGTTTGGGGATTCTGGCACATATTTTAAATAGGAGGTGGCAAGAAGATGTGGGTAAGCCCTGTGCTTCATATCTTCTCTCCAGGGGTTTGCCCCTGGTTGACTTTTCACATTTCAGATAAATCCCAAGGAGAGATGTAATAAGAACCCCACCCCCCAGGACATTTTAGGTAATGAATGTGCAAAGTGATGGACATTTGGATAACAAGTAGAGCAGTCATATTCTTTCCATTCAACAATAAATTAAGCTCAGATGTTGCCAGAGAAATTCTAAAGAATCATAAGATTTTTTAAACCCCCAGATCATTTTTGTAAGAGTATAAACCTTTTGGGAAACCAGAGAAACATTTAGTTTTACTCAGTCGTGTGTATAGAAACCCTTCAGGGATGTAGTCCCTCACATGTACATGTTTCTGGAGCCCCTTTTTACAGTGGCATGTTGAAGCATAACAACAAAGGAAACTGTCAGTTAATGTTACTGTAATTCTTACAAAAGATGATCCAGGTGTTTGCAACTCAAAAAATAGAAGCATATTAGCTTTTTATTACCTTAGTTACCACTCTGCATATTTTCAATCTACAAGATCTGGATAGAGACATGAGAAGCATGCCCACGCATCATATTTGGGGAAAACTTTTTTTTTTTTTACCCTCCTATGGTGCTAATACTGAACATAATACGAAAGCTTCTGTTGGATTATAGTGAATTAATGGAGCATATCTTATGCCTTTTATATGGCAAGTATTTGAACTGCATAAAAGAGATTTATTAAGAAAAAGGTAGCCACATTATAGTATTAATTTATCATATAAGATTTATAGCTTTCATAACTGCCTGGAGGACAGATCTGATGATACTGTAGTGCACTTCTTTGGACCCACACAGGCATATCTGGAAACAGGAGAAGAGATGGCTTTTCTACTTTAGGATGAATTCTGCATCTGTTGACTCTGAATTCTGTTTGTCTTGTCAACAAACACAAGCACAGACTCTCCAATGAAGGTGGATCTGTGCCTATTCCTGTGCTTTTGGATTTCTCCCACTTTCCTGCCCCCTTGTGCTTTTCATGCCTATTTAACCAAATGTTTGCTAAACATTGTTTTAAAAAAAACATATTAATTCACTCCTATTCTTCCTCCATAAAGCAAAGGATGAGTCTTCCTGGCTCTCCTCACTGTCAGAGCCACACAGCAAACAGGGTGATAGATTTTTCATTGTTTATCGTATTCCTAATCCTAATACATTAGAATAGAAATGTGCCTTCCTTTTTTGAGCAGTCAGCGTGTAGAATCAGAACAAAACAATAAGCAAGGCTAGTACAACGGTTAAAATTAGATTACCTTATAGAGTTGATTGGAGTCGGATGGCATCAACATTAAATTAATAATTAATTAATTAATAATAGTTATGATTATTAAGAACAAGGCGAACTAACCAAACTGGCTTTGTATGGTTCCCTCAGTTTTAACCTGGAAGAATAAGTTTACTCTGAACTTGATTTCTGGAAGAAGATGGTATATCTGCCTAAAATGCACAAAGGTATTTATGCTGGTCTGTGCTGTGATTACATGGCACCCACTCTCTTTAGATTCAAGTTTCACTTTGAAAACATAACCAAGGATTCAGTCATTCTGAGAGACTACATTATAGAGACTTTACTTACAGGAATAATCTTTACATTTTCAAAAAGTGGCATAATTAAAACTGCAATGTTGTGTGGCTTTGTGTAGGAAAAGAATTAATGCAACATCAACCTGAAATGATTATCAAGCCTCCACCAGAGGGAGATGGAAAACCATTTAATGAACCAAGAGTTTGATAGACGTAACTCCATATTAAACTCAATTTCCTTAATTCATCTTTGCTGAAGGGTGCTGTTTAAATTGTTGAACTAATACTAATGCTGGGATTTGCTCCAAGTCCATATATTTTTATTACATCCTACATTTTTCCCACTTACAAATAGAAGATAAAAGTTAAAACATTCCATCATAAACAATGTCTAGTCAAAAATATAAAATGAGATAGTAAAATAACCTGCTTTTAAAACAGCAAGTATTGTCTCAAGTCCTCACCCACATTTTCCCACATAGCCAAAAATATATGAATACTCTCTCATTTATTCATATATGGTGTGGGCAGAATTAAAGATCATGCTTTGTCTAAATCAGCTATCCACAGTTGTACTATTTATCATTACTTCCAAGCTCATAGTTTTCCTAGGAAAGGTATTTGACTAAAATCCTTTTAAGTGACAATTTATTTAATCATCCCACAAACAAATACTGCTTCTAAAAGATGTAAGAAAGTGCAAACACATGAATATATTCTTTATTTAGAAAATGAATAATGGTTAAAGATGCAGCAGAAATTTCCCTATGGATGCAGCAGTGTTTTCTTGAATGGAATGAAGAATACAACAATGATCTCTTTGAACCTATGCCGATTATTTGTCTCTTTTGTAGGGCTGGGGAGCGGAATATCATCGCCAGGATGTTACAAGTACTCCATGTTGGATTGAGATCCATCTTCATGGACCTTTGCAATGGCTAGATAAGGTGCTGACACAAATGGGTTCCCCACATAATCCAATTTCCTCTGTTTCATAAGAATTATCACCATACACTGGGGGACAAATACTGCTGCAGGTCTTGGCTGGTAGGATTCTCCCCTAAATTTCTGTATATAGCTGTAAATATGACTGTATATATAATCATACTATTAGTGTTTTTCATGCTGTATTACATGTTTTATTAGATAATAAGATGGCAGTAAGTTCCATTGTGTTCCGTCTGTTGATGAGCTTTGGAAGAGAAAATTCAGACTGAACTATACAAATATGCCCAGCTGCCTATTTTTTGGTATGGAATGAGAGCAGTATTGCTCGCACTTTGTAAAAAATATGATTATATATCAATGTTAAATTCTGCAAACAATAATGCTGTTTTCAAATGGAGCAAGTAGTAGTTCTGCCTAAAATACACAGGGGCAGTTTCTTGATATCATGCTTTTGGAAACTCAGAATCAGAGTATCATGACTGTGGTTCTCCATTTTGTTCCTGGCATGTGGATCTCAACATAAAACTATATTGTTTGTGATTACAAAGGTTACATTTTGCACAGTTGAGTAACAATTATAAGCCTGCAAAGGCAACCTTCTCCAAATACCAGGTATCTTTATCTGGTTTGGAAGAGAAAACTCAGACTGAACTATATAACTCCTGCTCTGTGGTGTAAAAAAATCACCTATCCAATTCCCAGAATTACTAAAATGTGTGTTTTCCTGACTCTTTATGTTGTTCTGTGATGATGAGGCAGGGTGGGGAAGAGGGCATATGAAGCTGCTATGGTTAATATATTTTTAATTCCATTCTTTGTACAGTGATATCTAGAATGACTTACTTCTGCCCAGTTAGCAGGGCACTGTGGTCCTTCACACATACTTCAGCTGCAGTGGAAGGGAAGACTTATGCAATATCTTAACCCCAAGACATAATAATTACCCTTGGACATTATGGGCCTTGATACTAAAAATGTACAGTTGACCATGACAACCGCAATTTGCTTAATACAAAACATAGTTGTTTCTTCAGATTCATGTTGCCAACTTCACTCAAACTCTTCAAATTCATCCTTTATAAAGTAAATAATGTTTCAGTAAAAATACTCTCCTCCCACTCATCCTAATTATAGATAAGCATAAAAAAATTAGGGTAATTGTCATCTGCAATGATTCTGAGTAGAAGGTAATATATAGTTAATATGTGCTAACCTTTCCTTCAGTTTATAACCTGTTACTTATTTGATTAGTCACTTTGTACATGGATATTGAATGATAAAAAATACACTGGAATAGCCCCAAAAAATGAGTTGCTGCATCAGTGTGCAAAAGGGATCAAGTGTAATAACAAAAACTGAAAATGCATTTGCCAGAAGAGGAAAATCATCTGATAGCACTTAAGTCTAAGTACAGCATCTTTGTATAATTCTGCTAATTAGAACATCAGTTTGGCTCAGTGTCCTGCCCTTGAATGTACTATTACCAAGTTATTATTTTTTTAAAATATTCTTGCTCTGGGATACCCCTGTCCAAATCCAACCCTTTGACAGATAGATACCTCCCCCTCCATTGCTAACCTAGAAGCAAGTGATTTATGGAGAAAAATAGTTTAATGACATCAGACTGTGTAAGCAAAATACCTTAGAGGATGAGAATGGGATTTAGGTCTCCTATGTACAATATGTATGGATTTCTGCAGCCTGTCTTCTGAAGAATTAAAGATCTGACAGGAGATAAGTTTTGGAAAACTGATAAAGATTGTAGTTCTATTATTAGAAGTTTTATTATTCAATTCATTGTTAAAGTATATCAAATGTAACTATCAAAGGGATAGCTTCATAGCACTGCCAAAGAGTGAATATAAAGAGTAAATTCACCTTCCAGGTGAATACAATTTTGTGGTGTTTCTGTGAACTATAGTTTAATTTGATGTATGAAATCTTACCTTCTACTTACAGGTAAATACAGATCTAGGTGCAGCTGGAAGAAAAATCTAAATTAAGACTAAATAATAAAATGAAAAAGTAAGTTTTAAGTCCTAATAGAATTATGACAAACTACTTTTGAATTTCATTTCTTCTTAAGGTTTACAGTTTAACTAAACTGTATGTGCAGAATCTATATTACATTACAAAAACGATAAAACTGATTTAGAAAAATAGATAGATATGTATTGGTCATAAGCTGCCTTTGCATGACACACTGAACCACAAACTAGTCAGTCATATATAGCCTAGTGTATAGTGCAAACCCAGCCCACTTGTCCAATTTATAGTGTAATGTATTTGTAAATACAAGAAATTTGGTTGGATAAACCATTGGTAACTTAACCTCAGTGTTTTGTGTAAACACAGTCATAAAGTAAACAGTGCATAATATTTGTAAGGATATGCATTCATAGTAGTTCCTTTATACACTTGTGAACAAGACATTTATAAACATAACAAATCAAAAAATGGTGTTTCAAATAAAAATTTCAGTGACATCTACTGCAGTGTTGATATCTTCAAGCAATGTGAGACACAAATGTCTTAAATCCTTACTGATACATAATTATTATGCCTACAAGCCTGGCTTGTTTTTCTGGAAGGGTAGACAAACAGGAAAAAACTAGCTAAGATACAGCCAATGTAAAAGAACTGTCCTGGGAACTTGTAAACCAAGAGCCCCGTTCAGCCATGAAAAGTGGGTGAATGCAGTATGCACAGAGAAATCTTTACTGACGAATTGCAGTTGAAAAAATCATATGATCACTTCTTTCAGAATTTAGCTAAGACTGCCTGCATAAAAATGGTCCCTTTAGACAGACCTTTCTGTGTCCAAATGTTTTTGTATAGATATTAACAAAAAGTAACTTTAAAGCTATTAAATGTGTTCATAAATATGCCATGCTTTGAAAAGGTCTGCTGGAAAATTTAAAAGTCATTTGGTAGAAAAGCCATTCATCAGCAACTAGTGTAGAGGAAAAACATTTCTTAATAGCAGTGATATGTGTTGATAATTCAAAACGCATCCAGCCTTTTTGGGAACAATCTAGAAGTACTGAAAGTTGTATGGTATTAAGCCTGTCTCATGAAAAACTAAATGATCTATTATATACAGGTCAACTATTTTCCTACTAAAAAATCTGTAGGAAAAAAAAATAATCCCAGTTTTTACTGATAGAAATTGAACCTTACTAATGATTCTGAGACTTCATTAGAGATCATTTATTCTCAGGCTTACTTTCCATTAGCTGCTGGTGGAGGGGAGGAAGTAATCCTGTTATTCATGAATGATCCAGATAGTTGTTATTGCTATCAAAGAAGCTGTGGGCATGAAGAAGCTACCTGGGTAGATTGTGTATGGAAAAACAATCCA